CATCCTCCTCCCATCATAGTTAATAGAGAACTCCAATCTTTCAGCTCCCTAGGTGCCCCACTCTCTGTTTCTCTTTCCGGCCTCCTCGTTAGCCCCCTCCTTTTTTTTAAGCATCATTCTTCTAAAGATTTCAAAGAGAAAAGAACATACCTGGTCCTCAATGCTTTCGAATGACACTCCCATCATTCTACTGAGTTTTTGGATATTTTGGAGAACCCACTCTGAGCTTAACTCTGCTTCTCTGTCTTCCAGACCCGTTTCAACTTGTCCCAACAACTCTGTGTTCTCAGCTTGCTCAACATTCAAAGATGTGAGTGGTAGAATCTCATCATTCACCAACATTAGCGCCAAATCTCCGTTAGAACTTTCTTCAATCTTCTCTCCCGCATCTTCATAGTCCCCTTCCTCATTCATCGAAGCATACGAACTGAATGGTCCATCGTCTTTGGTTTTGCCTTCAAACTCCAAAACCAGAACTCCATCTTCCATTCTCCTCTCGACAATTCCTTCTCCACTTTTGCTGTCCTCATTCTTCTTATCTTTTGAACTTCCCCTGATGTTTTCACTTGAGCTGGGATTTTGCCCTAATTGAATGCCCGAAGCCTCACCCATTGTTGTAATTCTATTAACTGGCCTCCACTAGCCTTTTTATCCTGGCTTCGACCTCTAGATTGTTCCTCCGGTCCAGGATCATGATCAACTATCCATTTTCCTTTCTCCCCTCTAGTGAGCCTTCTTTGATTTGTGGGCTTTGGCTGAGCACCTCCGGTCCTTTCAAAATTCTTTTTATGGGGAAGCCCAAAACGAATCCTTTTAGCATCATTTCAGGCATTCCCATTATACCGCTCAGTGGGCACATGTGATGCACGGGGGTTCGACCTGCTTCTCTTCCAGGTTTTGTTTGCCCTACTCGACGATGTGTGAATCCCCCAGCCTGAAGTGCCGCTGCGTAGGACTTCTCACCTTTTACTCTCACCTCAAATTGGATCTGGGACGAGCAGTGAGGGCAATGAAAGCAGGCATTCCACAATTGTGTTTGAGCACCCTTCAAGCAAAACACTTCACCCTTCTTACTTTTCGATTTTGAGAAAGCATCCGAATGCACCATTTTTCGCTCAGCTAGTTCAAACGCCATATTTATAAAAATCCACCACCCCCGTCCCTGTTCCCCTTCCGGGATGAAAATCTTATTCACTTTCTTTTCGAGGACTTCCGACACACCAGATAAAGGCCCCTCCTGTTTCTACCAAACGATATCCAAAAACCCGATTC